CTCCCAAGTCGAAGTTTGTGTCACTGCGAGACTTTCGCATTCGCGATTATCAGAATGAGGGTATCGTGCGTCCAGCGTGGATTCCAGGCAAGATTAATCCTGCTGATGGATTCACTAAGCTGTTGGGCACTCACTTGAGCCAACAGTTTACGACCCTACTAGGTATGCGCGATCGACCAGTCGACGATAAAGAGATCATCAAAACAATCAGTGCAGCGTGTCATGACTTGCGCATAGGTGTGGAGAACCCACAGTTTGCACCGTGCAAGTCATACTGCTCACTGGCGGCGTACACACTACTGCCCTGACCCCTTGGTTGGTTCATGATTAAGTATGGAGTTCATGCTGATAATGGTGCATCTGAATTTAAGTTAGCCGAAGCAGTTGCATGCCTGTCCGATGTTGAACTTCCCGAGTCCGACAACAAGTATATGTGAGAAAATCTATAGCAGTTTGGCAAATAGGGGGAGCTCAGGAGGAAGATTCTCCTGTATCTGCCCCACTGTGCTTATTCTCCCTTTTCTCCCTACCTGGCAGTCTCATATCTTCATGAGACTGAGGTCCCCACTTTAGTATGGGGGTCCTTCCTCCTTTTCCCAATTTCCTTCCCTTTCTCTCTTTCTATTCCATTTTAAGACAGTATAGAGTAACCCTCTCCTGTTGGGAATCAGGGCTGCTCAGCAGCCCCATCTCACTTTTTCATTTTCAGTCTAAGTCAGGAACACTGCCATTTCCCCTCAAGTTACTGCGCTGGAAGCGACCTGCCCGCGTGCTCCACGGCAGGGGAAATGTTCGCTCTCGCCCCGCCACGGCGCGCGCACCCACGGCGCGCGCGCGTGGCGGGCCGTGACGCGGGGTGAGAGGTGAGAGCCTCCGTTTAAACGCAGCTTAGCCTTTCCTTCTTTTCACGCCTTCCCCCCCCCCCCCCCCCTTTTCTTTTCTTCCCCCCCCTTTTTTTTTCCTTCTTTTTGGTCTCTGCCAGCATGAAAAAAGTGCGAGCATGAAAACAGTGCAGCCGCCTCCGGGCTGGACGCGCGCCGCCCGCAGCGCCGCCGCGGACCCCGGGGCTTTGAGGGTCCGCGCCTCCTCAAAGGCCGGGGGCTGTTCGGGTGACGTTAACGTGGGGAGTGGAGGTTGTATAGGCGGTTGCGGATGCGCGGGCGGAAGAATGCAGCACGGCAGCGGTGGCAGTGGGGGGCGGAGGGGGGGGGGGGGTGGCGCAGTGGGGCCGGGTGGCAGCGCGGTGATCTTTATGCAACTGTTGCGCTCGATCGAACATTCTAACAGCTGATACATTGGCTCGTTGCCAAACTTGGCGAAACAACGGGTTACGTACCGATGATCTCCTACACACTTCGCTGGCTCCTATGATGTGACGGTCCAGTAGGCAAAAAAGGAAGTCGCGATCGCAGTGAGGACAAGCCAAATGCCCCAGGGTGTCTTGGAACAGCTTTCCCCGTCCCAATGCGTGTCAGCGAGAATGGCGTAGGTAGCACAAGCCCACAGGACGCTGGGCACGACCTGTGTCGAGAAGTTCGAGAAATCATGTTGGTAAGGGACGATTAAAGTTGTTCAAGAAAATATATCAAACCCAAGGCCTCGGGGCGACGCGACGCGACGGTCCAACTCTTCCCATCATCCAAGGGTCCATGGGGGGGGTCGGTAGGGTTGGAGGGCATCCAAGGGCGAGGGTGGGAGGGTGGGTGGAGGGTCCGTGGCCTTTGCGGACATTCTAGACCGTAGGCAAGTCCGTGCAAGGCCACGGAACCTCCTGTTTTGGGGGGGGGGGGGCTGATCGAGCTTCTCTAGCTCAGTCGAATCGAAGTCGTTTCGGCTGGTCTGGCGAGGGATTTTCCTGGGTCGCGCTCTCAGGCTACACATGTAAGTGAAGACCACGGAATCTCTTCCCACGCCGGGTGCAACTTTCCATTTGTCAGCGCGCCAAGCGACGCTACGGAGGACGTTAGTGATTTCCAGGGCCTTGATGCCGCACACGAAGTAAATACAGCCAACGAGCAGCATGTTGGTGTAGCCCCAGTCCTCCTTCGGGATAATGTAGAGGATCTGGTGGGAACCGTCGGTGAGAAAGACGTGAAACTGGAGGAGGTAAAACTCAAGCGAATGCATGCCCACCCACTCGATGGGTTTCATGATGCGGCGCGAGAGCGCGGGAATAGCGTTTCGGGCAAGGAGGTAAAACGGGATCCAGAGCGTGCCCACGTAGGGATTGACGGAACGGTAGTCGGCGCCGCCGTCGCAACAATACTGGGGCAGCTGGCTGACCCAGATGGCCAGGGCGATGAGGGTGCTAGCGCAGGCGCCCATGCCCCAGCGTGCAAGACGCGAGATGCCAAAGGGCCACGCATCTCGGAAAGGCGTGTAGACAGCGGCGAAGCAGAGGCCAGGTACGCTCGAGAGAAAATCCATCTTCGTGCGCATCCAGAAGTACCACTCGAAGTAGTGCTCGCCGTCAATGTCGAGGAGCCAGGGGCGGAGAAGGACATCATAAACTCCCTTGCCGTCATTGTGGGGGTCCAGCCAGATGATACAGCAGAGACCGATCATAAGGGCGCAGCCTAGGGCCTTCTCTGCGTAGCATGCCTCGCGATGCTCTTTCTTGTCGGGCTTCTCCCAGCCAACAAGAGTTCCGATCACGCGCGCGATAGCGAGCGAGACCCAGATGAGAACAAAGTGGACGGTTGCGAGGGCGACAAAGTAGTACTCGATCCACGGCGTGCCTGTGGCAAGAGAAAGAAAAAGGCAGAGAAAGTTCATACGCCAGAGCTGCTGCGTGAAGCGCTTCGCCGAGAAGTCCGCGGAGCTCCAAAAGTAAACACCGTTCCCAAACCCTGTGAGCCACACGTACGCAGACACGGCCCAGCGGACGGGTACGTAGACGTCGTTGTTGTTCGTGTAATGGTACCTAGAACGGCTACGATGCGACTTGGTCCCCCTCTCTGCCGCCCACCTCGGCGACCTGCGGCAGAGGCCCCCGCGCAGCGACGGACGCCGCGCCGATACGCGACGAAGGCGACCTGCATCCAGCCCTTCCACTCGTTCGCCTGGGCACGGCTCAGGAAGACCTCGGTGCCCTCCTCGAGCACCTCAACGTTTAGGAGTGAGACCAGGAAGAGCAGGGCCATGATGAAGGCCCAGAGGTCTGGGTTTTCTGAATCGAGCGTCGTGCCCGCGGGTAGCCTGCCCGAGGGCATGCGGTGCTCGCCAACCACGCATACGCCTAGGAGCACGGCGAACTCGAGGGCGGCACGCGCGGCCTCGTAGGTCATGCCACGCTTGGCATCTTTCGACGGCACTGCGGGGCCAGTACCGGCAGATGGAGGGGCTGGAATGGGCGCGTCGCCATCGTCGTCGTCGTCACTGTCACCGCCGTCGTAGAAAGAGAAGGCGACACTCGAAGCCTTGGTGTCGAGATGAGGCTCAGCGTAGCTCGAAGTTCGGCTCTGGGCCGTCATGGAGAGCGTCTTGTTGACGAGGCTGATTGATGTACGCGGTGCGTAGCTCGAGCCCATGCCGCCTCGCATGGAACCGCCGCGGTGGCCACTGCGGTGCGCCGACGAGCGGTGGCGGCCCGCACTGTGCGTCGATGCCTTCGCGGGCCGCGACTTACTGCCCTTGCCGAGAGCCTCCTCGCCGCGCTCCTCATCCTCTTCAGCGACGGATGCGAGCTGCGCTGGCCCCGAGCGGACCTCGATATCCTCCATCTGGCGCAGGACCTGGAGCGCGCTGTTGGAGAGCTCGTCCTCAAGAGCGGAGGCGCCGCCCTTGGTACCAGCGCCGCTACTATTCGCATGGCCTGCCGCCTGGAACGTGCGATAATCGCCGCCCCCGTTGCCCGCATGCGGCGGCTTGAGCGCCGCGGCGATCGCGTATGAGATGAGCGACGCGACGAGAAGCGCAAGGAGGAGCTTCTGGCCCGCCATGGGACATTGGTCCATCTCGAGCGGGGGGTTGTTCTTGTAGGTGATGCCATCATTGCTAGAGAAACAGGTGAACTCGATTGTCTCGTTCCCGACAGTGTACGTCTGTGTGCTCGACGCTTCACGCACATTGTCGCCGCCTCCATAAGAGAAACCCGTATCGGCATCGGGGTCATGCCAGTTCGTAGGCGCCTTAGTCGGCCAAGGCCGCGGCACCTTGGTCGGCTCGGGCGTGACGACAACGGGTGCGTTTGTCGTAGGCACACGGCTCGGTGCGCCACTCGGCCGCAGCGTCGGCGCGGGAACAGTCGGCTGCGGAGTTGTTGGCGCAGGGGTCGTCGGTGCGAATGTAGGCACAGACGCGGGAATTGCGGTTGGAGGTGGCGACGGCGCCGCCGACGGCCGTGGGTCGCAGACATTGTCGTTGCATACGCCCCTGTAGCAGTCTGCTGTCTTGTCACACGTAGCCCCGACGTCGCACTTGTCACAGAACCCGCCACCACAGTCGATGTCCGTCTCCGTGCCGTCGAGGACGCCGTTGGTGCACGTGAGCGAGGTCGGCGCGGCCGTCGACGGCGGCGACGACGGGGCGGCTGTCGATGGCGGGGCTGTTGAAGGCGCGGGCGTCGGGAGGGGTGTCGGAGCAGGCGCTGGAAGCGGGGTTGGCGAGGGACCTGCGTGAATTGACCAAGCTTGTTGTTCAGGGTTTGTTTGGATGGTTTCGAGCTGTACTAGAATCAATGGCGCGAAGGGGGTCTGTTGTCTTCGAATACGAATAATCAACCTCACGTCTCGAAGAAAACACAATCTACAGACACGGGATCAAGCTGGGCGCTGATGTTGTCGGCGCAGGCGTCGGGGGTGTCACGGGCCGAGGTGTCGGTGCGGGTGAGGGTGCCGCAAGGCACTCTTCTGTATTCCCGAGCTGCCGCGCGATCTTGTTGAGAAGGATCTGGGTCCAGATCTGGAACTCGCGGGCGCGGGGGTGGAAACCGTCGAAGGTACGGCCCGTGCCGTCGCCAGCTCCTGTGCCGAGGTTGGCGATATTTGAGAGCTGGTATACGTTGGCCGTGTCAATGCCATTGTCCGCCATTACCTTGTCCGCAATGGTGTTCATGGCCCCGACGGCGATTGCGCCGATGCGCTGGTTGCCCAGATCGCTGTCGTCGACACCGCAGCACGTCGTCATGCGCCAGACAACGGCCTTGTCATCATCGTTGACGAAGTAGCGCAGAATACCCGCAACGAGGTTTTCGAGGTCGGTCTCGTACGAATCAAGACAGTCGGAGTCGCGGTAGAAGTCGCTCACATCGTCACTGCTGGAAAAACTGCATCCGTCGCTCGCATGGTCCTCTTCATCATCCTCCTTGAGCTCCCACCATCCGCTGTTGACGATGAGAACGTCACCCTCATTGATCTCCGATGCCTCGTCCTCGAGGTCGTCGTACCACGTGTCCTGCGTGAAACGGAACGTCGTCGTCACATCACCGTAAGCGCCTCCGTCGATCGTCGCCTCGATGATCTGGCGGTGGCTCGACGAGTCGGACCGCTCCGTACCAGGACTCCACTTTTTACCGGAATCAAAGTAAGGTCCACTGTACACGCCCGAGATCTCTGTCGCGCAGCCCCACGACAAGCAGCCATCACCCTCGTCGCCGAACTCAGCAGCGACATCGCCGTTGATGAGGAAGTTGTTGAACTGGTACGTGAAGTAGCGCGAGATGGAGTCGCCGAGAATCATTACGTGTGTCCCGCCGAGGATACATAGAGCCTGGTCCTGCGTTACCGTCATGAGCGGGTCGTAGTACCCGAATGTGTCGCCGTGGACCGACGCGCTTAGGTCGTCAAGGACCTCAGCGTCTGTTGCCTGCCAATCTACGTCGAGTGTCTCCGCCTGACCAAGGCCGCGGCCATATCGCGGCCGGGTCCGATGCCTGCCGTGTGCCTCGCGGAGCGCGTCTTGGGCTAAGATCGTGGCAAGCGAAACGCGGCGACCGGCATGAGTAAGCCGCGGAAGCGCAGCGGAGCTCGGGAAGAGATCCGATGCTCGACCACTGTCGAGGCCACTGCGGTCGCGCCACGCAGCGAGGCTCAGAAGCCTCGTGTCTGGCGATTCGACTCCAACAAAGTGCGCCCCGTCCAATCGCCACGACCTGCGTTGGCGCCCCCAGGGAGTCGCAGCATCTTGTTCCAAACAGACGGGGCTAGAGGCAAAAGCCACGATGCGGTCGTTGGGGACACTCTGAGACTCGCGAGGCGTCGCATCCCAGTGTCTGAGAAAAATGATGACACTGCCAATGCGATCTAGGACACCGGCGCGGACGTCGCGAGTGCGACCTCACGGGTACCTCGCGAGGCGATCGAGCCATCAATGATGGCGGTCTTGTCATCAAACGCTTCAAAGACATGTGGG